TGTGGGGTTGGAGTGAGGGAGAGGATAGAGTCTAGAACAACACGCGTGTTTCAGGCGCCATGGTGTGTTGGTGAATAGGAACAGGTAGGTGAGGAGAGAAGATGGTCAGTTATGTTTGGGACGCATACCTCTCAAAGAGTCTGTGAGATAGTCGAGTCTAAATGAACTGGGGGCAGGTGTGGGAAGCTTGGTAAAGAGATTTGGTCTGAGGTGACTGCCAGAAAGCACTGAGGGAAAAGGGTGACAAAAGTAAGGATACACACTATTAAATTCCTCTCAGGTTACTGCTTGTTTTATGTTATTGTTTTCAGCTTTACTGAGGTATAAGTGACAAATAAAATTGTAAGATATTTAAAGTGTACATTGTGATGATATATGTATACATTGTGACAGGATTTCTCCCCTTTGAATTAGTTAACACATCCATCACCTCGTATATTTACTTTCTTCTCTGTTTTTTTTTTTTTCCTTTGGGTGAGAACATTTAAGTTTTACTCTCTGAGCAAATTTCAATTAAACAATGCAGCATTACCAACTATTGTCACCATGTTATGCGTTAGCTCCTCAGACCTTATTCATCTTACAGCTAAAAGTCTGTTCCTTTTACCAGCTTCTCCCCATTTCCCTCACCCCAGCCTCTGACAATCACTGTTCTATTCTGTTTCCATGAGTTTGGCTTTTTTTTTTTCAGATTCCACATATAAGTGATACAATGCAGTACTTATCTTTCTCTGTCTGCCTTATTTCATTTAACTGATGCCCTCCAGGCTCATCCACCTTGTTGAAAATGACAGGATTTCTTTATTTTTTAAGGATGAACAATATTCCATTATATGTATTCTGCATTTTCTTTATCTGTTTATCTGTCAACAGACACGTAGGTTGTTGTTTCCATCGTTGGTTATTGTGAACAGCGCTGCTATGAACATGGAGGTACAGATATCTCTTCGAGATAACAATTTCATTTCCTTTGCGTGCATATCCACAAGTGGCACTTCAGGATTGTATGGTGGTTCTATTTTTAATTTCTTGGGGAACCTCCATACTGTTTTCCACAGCGGCCGCGCCAGTTTACATTCCCACCAACAGTGCACGAGGGTTCCCTTTTCTCCACACCCTCCCCTGCTTGTTTTAATTTGGTCTGTTGTTATATTTCTTTTGAATCTCTGAATATGGACCATTGCTTTTTTTTTGCTGTACGCGGGCCTCTCACCGTTGTGGCCTCTCCCGTTGCGGAGCACAGGCTCCGGACGCGCAGGCTTAGCGGCCATGGCTCACGGGTGCAGCCGCTCCGCGGCATGTGGGATCCTCCCGGACCGGGGCACGAACCCGTGTCCCCTGCATCGGCAGGCGGACTCTCAACCACTGCGCCACCAGGGAAGCCCTTATTTATTTATTTTATTTTTGGTAACTAACAAATATAGACTTTCTGTGTGATGGTAATAATGCAAAAATAGCTGAAAGACGGAAAATAAGAAGAAAGGGGGAAATGAAAAGTCAAGGAAAAGAATCCCAGAGAGGCCTGGGGAAGAGCTCTGTGTGAGGCCCCTGGAGCCGGGGGTGAGTCTGGTAATTCCTGCTTACAGGCAATTCCTAGTAATTCCTCTCCCGACCCTTCACGTTTCCTGCTTACGGTTCTCTTGCCTCATCCCTTCTCCCACCCCCGCTTCCTATTATTCAAACCCTACATTAGCTCAAAGGCTTTAATTTTTGGTGGGCAAAGAAAAAAATAGTGATTATTTCTCCAAACCTTCACTTGCAGCTCACATCTTGGATTTGGCCTCTTGCACTTCATTCTGTGCAAGAGGAACTTTGGGGCTGATCTGGTCACAGGTACACAGAGTCCCTCAGTCTCTTCAGTAAAGACACTGTATGTTTCATTAAGATAGTTGGTGCGAGTTTTTTTTTTAAATGAACTCTAATTCAATAAGATTTTCTCTTCCATTATTTTTACAAGACCAAATAATAACATTTAAAAAGAAATTTCTTCTTAAAGAAACTTAAATCAGTTGCTTTAAGAACACATCTTTACAAAATTATACTCATTAGCCAACAAAAAACTTTCGTGTTTTCCTTTCTTCTGATGCAAGTTGAAGACTTAGAAATAAATAGTTGTTAATGGTGTTTGGTTAAGAAGAATTTGTTTTAATTGTTTATATGAAACAAGTACTTGTTAACTTTTTCTTGTTGCCAATCTGTCAATTCTAAATGTTCACGTACATTAGGCAGGAGAAAGCCCAGCTTTGTCACAAAAGGTTTGCATTATGAACTTGGTTCTTTTGTGTGTCTATTTTCATTCTTGTTAAGGGATGAATTCGATTGTACAAATCCCGCATATTTTATGTGTTAAACATGTTAGTTCAGGAATTTCACTCGATTTTATAAAGATACATATCTACGATGGCTGACCAATCCAAACATAAGATTTAACCATTGACTTTGGACCCAATTCAGTTCTCCCATCTTCTGGCTTGCAGAACTTCTGGCTTTTGGGAAAGAAAGTGAATCAAAGTAATTTTTGGTTCAAATTATTATTAACTGTTTTCTTCTGATATAAACTTATATTTTAAGATTTAAAATAAGTCAACATGTACTACATAAACATCATAGAAGACCAAACACTAAGAGTTTCTTTGAGGTGTCAGAAGAATACACCTTTTGCCTAGAGTTTATATCTGCCCAGGTAAATTTTATTTCTGATTCTATTATTTCCTCAATTTGCCCCTGTTAATAGGGAAGATTCTAAAAGTAATCACTATGCCTGGGTATTCGAGGCAGTGTGTGGTCTCTTACTGAAGTTACAAGGTTTTAACTGTTTGTTGATTCCTCTTATGCAATAGAAGAATGCAGATGTTAATTTAATCTGAAGCCTGTTTATACAGTGACTTTTATAATGTATATCTAAAGATAGAGAATCGAGTTTTATGAGACCAACATTTCTTATCAAGTCCCCACTCCACCCTATTCTAATTGGGCTGACCCTTAAGTTGAATAAAGAACAAAGAGGTCTGTAGTTAAAACATTTCACTACATGTTGAGTCTTGCCCTTATTAAATGAGAAAATGGAGACTTAAACAGAGAATCTGAATTAGAAGGTCGCATATACACTCACTGTTTTTTGTGAATGGAAAGCATATTTTAAAATAGTACATATCATTTTTTAGTCTAAATTCAGGATGTTTTCCCAAGAGGTGCGAGTATTTAGACTCATATAAATGGGCTGCTTTATAAAAACATGCCAATAATACTTTTTAATTTGTGAAGCTTAATATTCTGTACATTATCAACCAGACTTCTTTTGAGGGATAAAGAAATGGAGGTGACTTCTAAATCTTAGAGCAGAAACTGCATGTGGGCAATTGGATACCTGTCCCCAGAGCTCAGAGAAGAGGGTTGGGCTGGGAGTTTAAGTCTGTGCGTCATCTGTATTTAGTGGTGATGAAAGCCGTAGGCGTGAGATAGATTTTCTGGTGGGAGAATTCAGAGTCACAGAAGAGGAAAGGGCCTGGCATTGAGCCCTCTGCAGCTCTGGATTATTGTGGCATGTAGGGAGGCAAATCTGCAAACCCTGGGAAGCTCCAGTTTGAGGGGTAGAAGGAGCGCTGGGAGCATTTTGTGTTACAGAAGCCGAGGGAAAAGCATGTTTCAAGAGGAAGGAAGGAACTGTCAGATGCTTCTGATGGGTCAAGTGTGATGTGGGCTGAAAGTGTCTATTGAATTCAGCAACAGAAGTCATTGGCGGTTTCTGGGAAGCTGTTTTTGTGGAGCAACAAAGGTGGAAAGCAGACTGACTTGGGTTGAGCCAGGCAGGAGAAAAGGAGGAAAAAGACCTCCAGTGCAGACATCTGTTAGGTGTTGAGCTGAGAAGGAGGGACAGGATATAAGATAGAAGTTCGAGAGTGCCGTGGGTCAAGGGAGACCTTTTTTGTGGGTCAGACTTGCATGACATGATAAAAGCCAATAAGGTGAAGTAAACCTATGTGAATTACAGGACATCATTAGAGAAACAGTCTTGGGAATTATTGGAGAACCAGAAGGGAAAGAGAGGGAGAAAAGGATAGAAAGCTTATTTAAATAAATAATGGATGAGAACGTTCCCAAAACAGGGGAGAGATTTGGACATCCAAGTTCATGAAGCTCATAGGTCCCCCCCCAAATTTCACAATATTATATGCTAATTATATCTTAATAAACCTTGAAAAAAAAAGCCAATTAGAAGGAAGCATTGGAGTGAGAGAGACTCAATAAACAAGAGAGAAAAGAAAGAGGATTTAGAATAAAATAACAGCAACAACAACTAATATTCATTCAGTGTTTGCCCTACCCATGGCACTGCGCTAAGCCCGTGACATCTAGTCTCACATTTAGTTCTTAGAATAATGTTATGCAGTGGTGCCGGGAGGAAAGTGTGGCCTAAGGATGTTAACCAACTTGCTCAGTGTCTTCCAGCTAGTGAGTGGTGAACTGACTTACTACCTTAAGGATCGACCTTGGTCACCACCACAGCCCACCACCCCCCAAGTGGAATTTAGGTGCTCTGTGCTGTGTTTGAAGACCTACTTAAAGATTCTTTAAATTATATTGTACGAAAGGCCACTTTGAAACCCTCTGTCTGAAAGTTCTAACAGCTCTATTTGGACAACAATTTTGGTGGGTGGCCTGGGTCCAAAAAAAAAAAAAGGCCTTATCTACTGAGAAAGCTTAACCTTGAGAATATATATATATAAAACATCATGCCCCCAAATATAGGCTGTGTGAACTGAAGGGGATTTGCCCAAAGAACTCGCAAAGCAACTTGGGGAGGCAGAAATTAATTGTAGGAGAGTTGTTTTTTTTTTTTAACATTGCAAGAAGGACACAAAAAAGGATGATGGGTTGAGGCAGCAACATAGAAAGGCCAAGGAAGAGATGTGAAAACATCCCACAGACAGCTTCCCTGTAGATTCCAACCGACTAAATTTCCTGAAATAATACTAATTCTGTCCTCTTGCTTTCGATAGGACATAATGACTACATGTGTCCGGCTACCAACCAGTGCACGATTGATAAAAACAGGAGGAAGAGCTGTCAGGCCTGCCGGCTACGCAAGTGCTACGAAGTGGGCATGATGAAAGGGGGTAGGTACCTTGGACCCAGGGCGCCCACCATGAGGTCCTTGTCCCCCACCCACTGCTGGCCATTTCCATTCTAGTCACCACGGGAGTGGAGTGGTTTCTCTTCTAATTAATTGTTTTCCTATTCTCACTTTTCTTCACAACAAAACTATTTTTTATAACACATTTTATTAAAAAAGAAGAAATCCGAACACACCATTTTGTGTTTCATATTTTCAATGTAAATACTTATATTTAAAATCAAAAGTGTGTGGGAGGTGGTGGTGGAAGGAAAAGAAGACTGCTCAGAGAATTATTCTAGAAATATTTTTCCGTTACTGTTTATGTTCCTAATGCTAGAAAACGGTATCTGGGAAGAAACTTTCCTTACACCGAGACTTGTACATGTGAAAGCTAAAGAGCTAGTTTGTCATCTTTCAATCCCTTCACATCCCTTAGGGAATTTGAATTTCAATGAAAAGGCAGCTTTCTCCTTTAGAAGTTGAGTTAACTAGCAGCTCCCATAATCTCAGCATCCAGTATGGAGCTGGGAACAATGCATTGATTTCTGAGCACTAGCGTCACGAGGTGGTTGGGATCTGTGTCCGTGTATTTGTGCTGTGGGTGTGTGTATGTGTGGTTTTCTGTCTCCTCATGTATCCAGTCTTCCAGTTTTCTTATACTGGAATCCAGCGTCTGGTTCTGGGAATATTAGGTGCTCCATAAATGTGGTTGCCTGATCTCCTTGTATTCTTTGGAATCTAGTTTTGAAGAACACTTCTAGTCTTGAAGAGCCTTCAAAATACTGGGAGAGAACAAGAGGAAATGTGTAATTGAAATAAAGGAATGGGTGCATCCAGTGTTTTAGGATGATATAAAGGAGAGAGACAGACCTATGATGGTGCTGCCTGCTGATCAGAATGGGAAAAAATCTTTCTGGAGAGGAGGCTTGAGATTAGTTAAGGAGAACGAAGTGGCCATGAAAAAGAGTAGCGATTGTGTAAATAGAGGGAAGCTAACCTTTAACTCATTAACACTTGGACAAAGGGGGAGGCAGAGGAAAAACCAACAGTCATGCCTGATTATTAGGGTGCTTATAGGCAAAGATTCCTTTGTTAATGGCCATAAATAAATCTACCGGGTTGAGATTTTGAATACAGCATTTGGAATAAATTATCTTGATGAACAGATGAAATGTTGAATTTACACATTGTGTGAGCTGTGACTGTATGTCTTGGGTGTCTGAAAAAGCAGCTTTGATTCAAAGGGTAATTAATTCCAAGAATTTAACAGCCACATTCAGAAAATGACACTTTAAGTCATAAATGGATTAAATATTTAAGGAATTCATTTTTCTTTGTACTGTTGGAGAATTAGTCAGGCTTAATTAAACTCACAAAAAGCTTCTTAAGGTATCTTGATAAGTGACAGGAATAAAACAGCTACATGCAAAAAGTTTACTTTGAAAGAGTAGAGTCCAAGTTTAATATTCTTCTTTGGCAATTGTAGGTAGATTAAGCCCAGACTCTTAAATTCTCTCTAAAAGCTGAAATGATCAACTTGTAAATTGGTCCAAACATTTTTTTTCTTTGAGGGTACCCATACATTGACCCCACTTCATAGAAACAATTCTGTTTTTCTTAATTAACATCCAGATACAATCTGGATGCATAAATATAAATTATGCATACACATTTTTATCTAACAAAAAATTTAACATGCAAAGACATAATAAAAATCTTCCCACTGCTTTCAAATAGGACTTTAGATAATTACTGCACATAGTCAATGTATGTGTGCATGCATGTACTTGTACATGTATATTTATGAGTGCAAAATATATATCTATCCTAGTTTGCTGCTGTGTTATTCTGCTCAGCCTGCCATAACAAAGTCTACAGACTGGGTGACTTAAACAGCAGAAATTGATTTCTCACAGCTCTGGAGGCTGGAAGTCCAAGATCAAGGTGTCGGCAGGGTTGGTTTCACCCTAGACCTTTCTGCTTGGCTGGAAGGTGGTCCTCTTCTCGCTGTGCCCTCACGTGGCCTTTTCTCTGTGTGTGTGCATCCGTCGTGTTTTTTTCTCTTCTTTTAAGGACCCCAGTCATGTTGGATTAGGACCCCACCCTTAGGAGCTCATTTAATCTTTATTACATCTTTAAAGACCCTATATCCAAATTTAGTACTATTCTGAGGTACTGGGGTTGGGGCTTCAATGTGATTTTTCGAGGAGACACAATTCAGTCCATAACAATTTCCCATAGAGATTCCTTAGCAGTTGTTAGTATCCATTACGTAAAATGAAAACATGTGTCTTTCTGGCAGTTTATACGTGTGTATAAGTTTTACGACAAGCTTTAAAATTGTAAAACTATAGGCTGTGAGAACATCTCATTTTAATTATATGTATAGTGTTTGCCATAATGCAATATAATTTATTTTTCTTCCACAGTATGGGATACCACACATAACCTCATGACACCTTGTATAACAACTCCCCAGATCCCACCCAATAAAGACCTAATTTACAGCTGGAAGTACAGTTATAGCCAACTATAAAATTTGAAATTACTTGTAAAGAACAGCTGTGACTAGATAAATCTTTACAACGTTTTCCTACTGGTTTCACAAGAATCCAGTGTCTGAACCAGGCTAGAGACCAATTCGAATACTGAATCTCTCCATATGAAATAAAATGTTTCATTTCAGATAAAAGAGAGAGAACCGAAAACTTACCTCCTACTTTTTTTTGTTTTTTATGGTACGCGGGCCTCTCACTGCTGTGGCCTCTCCCATTGCGGAGCACAGTCTCCGGATGCGCAGGCTCAGCGGCCATGGCTCACGGGCCCAGCCGCTCCGCGGCATGTGGGATCTTCCCGGACCGGGTCACAAACCCGTGTCCCCTGCATCGGCAGGCAGACCGTCAACCACTGTGCCACCAGGGAAGCCCCCTCCTACTTTTATAGCAAGGTAGAATGCATTTATTAAAGTACCCTAAAGATCCAAAACAGTGCATGATTTATCTACATGAAGAAATTTAATCTCTTACGATGCCTGCTGTACCCTGAAAATCCCAACCTCATTATTAGATTTGGTCCTGAGCCACGATGGTTCAGTAAGATGCAGGATTTAAGACATGCTTTAGGGGATGCACTTTCCCATCTTAGTGCTGCTGGCCTCTGCCTAGCTTGCATTTTCCTTTTCATCTGTCTCCCTCCCCTTCAACCTTAAGTGGCAGATTAAATGTCTCTTCTTCAGGGAGGTCTTCCTTTTGCCCCACACTAGGTTAGCTTCTTGTGTTCTCCCTTTCATAGGAAACAACTCTTCCCTGAGCCCTCCTCACTATTATTGTTAGTTGTTCAACATCTGTCCATGAACTCCACGATGGGGGAGACTCTCTGTCCTGCCTACTGATCTAGCACTAAGCAAGTCACAAAGTGAGTGTTCAAGATATTTATTTCCCATGAAATAATGACTTAATTCATTTAAATAGCTATTTGTTCAGGGCTGCTTAAGGGTGAGCTATTATGAAGAGTACAAACATGGATAATCACCTAGTCCCTTCCATCAGAATCTTCGTCGTACAAAGGGGACATCTGCACCTGAAGTGGCAAATAAAAATCTGGAAGACAAGTTAAGACCTGGATGGAAGATGAAGATGAGAATGGAAGACCAGCGGCCAGTGGAAGTTCAGAGCTTTGGCCAGCCACTGCTGGGTTTAGTCCAACCCAGAGTGTTATTCAGACCATGTGACTTCCAAGGTGTATATTATTATCCAAGAACTTGGCATTCTAGCTTGGTTTGGTGGAAAGGGGAAAACCTCAGAGATGGAATTCTTGGACCAAATACTGGCTTCCCCTCAGATTTGCTGAGCAATCCTGTTACAGTCATTTTTATGAGTTTCATTATCCTCAGATGTAAAATAAAAATAAATAATTTATACTTAACAAGTTTCTTGTAAAGGTCACAATTCATAACATGTGAAGTACTTTATAAAGTACAACACAAGTGTTAGTGATTACAGGCAGACCTCAGAGATATCGCAGGTTTGGTTCCAGACCATTGCAATGAAGCAAATACAAAGTGAGTCACACAAATTCTTTTGGCTTCCCAGTGCATATAAAAGTTAATGTTTACGCTATACTGTAGTCTACTAAGTGTGTAATAGCATTATGTCTAAAAAAATGTACGTACCTAGTTAAGAAACACTTCATTGCTAAAAAATGCTAACCATTATCCGAGCCCTCAGCAAGTCATAAAAGTAACATCAAAGACCACTGACTACAGGTCACTGTGACAAATATAATATGAATGAAAAAGGTTGAAATATTGTGAGAATTACCAAAAAGGAACACAAAGACAGAAAATGAGCAAATGCTGTTGGAAAAATGGCACCAATAAACTTGCTTTATGCAGTGCTGCCAAAAATTTTTAGTTTGTGAAGAATGCAATATCTTCAAAGTACAATAAGATGGGCTTCCCTGGTGGCGCAGTGGTTGAGAGTCTGCCTGCCAATGCAGGGTACACGGGTTCGTGCCCCGGTCCGGGAGGATCCCACGTGCCACGGAGCGGCTGGGCCGGTGAGCCATGGCCGCTGAGCCTGTGTGTCCGGAGCCTGTGCTCCGCAACGGGAGAGGCCACAGCAGTGAGAGGCCCGCGTACCACAAAAAAAATAAAATAAAATAGAGATTAAAAGTACAGTAAGATGAGGTATGCCTGTAGATCTCCTATCCTAAAAATAATTCCTATCTTACCTAAATACTCAGCACAGATTTTTTTTGGAAGGAAAAGAATGGCAATTTTATCACTAGTACTAAGTATAAATATCTAATTCCTTTGTGGGGAGTAAAACCCTGGCTCAGACACATCTGCTTTTTCTTTTTTTTCTTTTTGGTGTCATATGCTAGATATAGCTTCATGATGAATGAGATTTGTTGTTTATCATTTTATGATGCCAGGGATTTATACAAACTTGTTAAAATTCCTCCCGATAAACTCGGAAGTGTGTTGGTGGCAAGGTTTTC